AAGTCCGGCAAGAAACACTCTGACGCCGACTGTCTTTCTCGTGCGCCTATCGACCAACCACCACCCGATGACCCGGATGACGACTACTTCTTGGGAACAATAACTACCGACGACTTCGCTGAACGACAGCGGGCGACCCGGAACTTAAGGCCCTAATAGAATACCTCGAAGGCAGGACCACCGAAGTCCCGAAGGTATTCAAGCGCGCACTTGCCTCGTTCTTCCTGTGAAACGGTCTTCTCCAAAAGAAAAACTTTTCACCGCTTTGAGCCAAGTACCTCCTTGTTGTGCCTTCAGCTCTGCGACCAGAACTACTGCAGGCCCTGCACGACGATCCGACAGCAGGGTACCTCGGCGTTTCTTGCACGCTCGCTAGGATACAAGAAAGGTACTATTGGCCACGTCTTACCGCCGACGTCACTCGTTATGTGAGGACATGCCGGGACTGTCAGCGACGCAAGACACCACCGACAAGGCCCGCGGGACTTTTGCAGCCAATTGAACCACCTCGCAGACCTTTCCCGCAGATTGGTATGGACCTACTGGGGCCGTTCCCGACGTCAGCTTTCGGAAAAATATGGATCGTGGTAGCTACCGACTACCCCACCCGCTACGCCGAGGCAAAAGCCCTGCCAAAAGGCAGTGCATCCGAGGTAGTTGAGTTCTTCGTCGAAAATATCGCCTTTCGTCACGGCGCGCCGGAGGTCCTTATCACCGACAGAGGAACGGCATTCACTGCCGACTTAACTCAAGCAATCTTGGCATACAGCCAAACAAACCACCGCCGGACGACAGCGTACCACCCACAGACCAACGGCCTCACCGAGCGGCTTAACAAGACGATCGCCGACATGCTGTCAATGTACGTCGATGTCGAACACAAGACGTGGGACGCCATTCTTCCGTATGTGACCTTCGCATACAACACGGCAGTGCAGGAGACGACGCAGATATCGCCATACAAATTGGTCTACGGAAGGAGCCCGGCAACGACGCTCGATGCCATGTTACCCAACGTCACCGACGAAGAAAACCTCGATGTGAGCGAGTACCTTCAACGCGCCGAAGAAGCCCGACAACTTGCGCGTCTCCGTATCAAGAATCAACAGACGACCGACAGCCACCGTTACAACCTTCGACGACGCTTCGTGGAATACCAGCCCGGTGAACGTGTTTGGGTGTGGACGCCGATACGCCGACGTGGACTAAGTGAAAAGCTTCTGCGACGGTACTTCGGACCGTACAGGGTGGTTCGACGGCTCGGCCCACTTGATTACGAGGTTGTCCCCGACGGCATCACGAACTCTCAACGACGCCGATCGCGACCTGAAGTCGTCCATGTCGCGCGCCTCAAGCCGTTTCATGCGCGTTAACAAACTTAACTAGTGTTTTTTTTTGTATTATTGTTGTATCGTAATTTATTGATTGTACTTTCTTGCATTATTATTGTACTTTCATCTTTAGTTAAAGCATCGGGACGATGCCTTTTTTCAGAGGGGGGCAATGCCACGTTCCATTTCCCAAGTTTTTGTTATCGTCCGAAAACACCGCACGATTGTCAGCGCAAACCGCGCCTGCAGTTTTCTAGAAGGTTCCGGACTGTAGTAGATCATTTCGATAAGATCACGCCCACTGTGCGAACGGTACAGATTGTTCTGGAAGCTACGCCACCGCCAGCGATAACGCTAGAACATTCGACGGCGGGAGTATAAATGCCGACGCGCTTCGCCGCTTGTCAGTTGTTGATCGAAGGCCGACGCTCCGTTCGCCGCTATCAGTCCGAGACTGCTATCTGTGCGAGACTGCTGCTGTAATTGGACTTTCAGTTTACCGGGCACAGGTTCGCCCAAATAAACAGTTAAATCCTAACACGAAGTCTCCTGTCTTCGGCCACGTCACGACCCCGTGACACTATATACCAGCCTAAATTAGTTCCATTTGTAGCTGAGAATTTTCGGAGTCAAAGAAGCACGTGTGATTGTCATGATTTTACACTTAGTTACGTTGAAATCTATTAACCACATGTTGCAACAACTAGCCACGCTATTAGGATGTGCATTATTAAGTAATTTGTCGTCTTTTTGTTTATTTTACGGTACAACACTGCCCTCGTCTGCAAACAGTTTATTGGTGGATTGAATATTAATTGCCAGATCGCTGATGTAAACAAAACAAAAATTAAACGACTAGAACCAGAACCTTGCGGTACGCCAGGTCTAACTTTATTCACAAGAATTGGGATGTGGGAGTTGAAAATAATGACGAGAAACGGTGAGTCAAACGTAAAACACTAGTCCAGCTTGTGTCTCACACACGCGCAGTGGACTCGGCACTATTGCTTTGGGACCACAATACTATTGAAGACCCTATTCAAAAACTCCTATTATTCAGTGGGGTTTAACATACCAAAACGGCAGTGTATATAAAAGAGACACTGTCTGGGAGCACTAGGAAGATTTTTACAACCTGCGGTTTTTAGCGTGCACTTATATTCACATACATGGGCCTGAACATTTGAGCCGCCTTCCAAAATGCATCCCCTGCAGCCGAGATTCAATCCCGCCTCCTTCAAGTCAGCAGTCGATCACCATAGCGGGTATACTTTCGGCAGGTCAAAAGCGTAACACAGCAGCCATTTCATGATTCACAGCTATTGCCGGAACCAGCAAGAAAATAACATCATGTCCGTTCCATAGTATCCATCCGTGTGGGCCACTTCAAGGGTGATCTCACCCACCCATAAGGAATGCAGCGCTAGGATTAGTCATCAGTGAGCATGCCAAACCAGACGCTTTATAGGTACCCGCAATAAAGAGACATTGTCTACATTATCCTTATGACCAGCCTGTATCTACCTTTCTTTGTCAACTGGCTAGCGCGAGGGCCTTCATGGCATCGATAGCAGTAAACAGATTTTGAATACCCTAATTTGCTACAGCCTTGCAATTTTCGCATGTGGGCTTTCCGCTTCCGAGGAAACGTGTCTGTATTGTCACACACAACGTCTCTCACGATTATCCTCCGGATCTCAAAGCACATGGGAAAGCATTTCAATAAATGCGTTGGTTTTAACCAGCTGTTTGCTGAGCGCAATGCATGCCGGGTGCACCAGTAAATAGTTCATGAGCGGCTCTTACTAGGTCTTTCCTTATTAGCCAACATCTTAATTGTGCAGGCTGTTCTACGCTAGCTTAAATGTTTTTTTCATGCCTTGCTTAGTCAAACCTCCGACCATATAAGCACAAAGGCTTCTAGCTTTTCGTCGGAGTGAGCCCATAGGAATAAATTGCTGATTGGAATTCATTTATTAATAATATAGATAATATTATTAAGAATATAATAATAATAATAAAAATAATAATATATTAACGTGTTATCAGTACCAATAATACAATGATAATAAAATTATAATAATAGGTTGGATTTGACGTTAGAATCCCACACATTCATTTTAAATACCAGTACATTCAGATGCAGTTGAAACGGCTATAACCTCTGAGTGTATTCTTAGGATAACCTAAATATGCTAGTGTGAATTCGTATGAACCTAAACAGCTCAATATTGGTCTAAAAAGAAGACATGTGTACAGCTGTGGCCCCGTCTGTGTAGAGCACGGGAACAACCGTTTTTTGCTCTGCGGGGCGAAACCTTGGGACAGTATCAGGCTCTCACGTGTTCAGCCTGACAACTAGGCTGTGCATGCTCCTGATACACCACTTCAGAGTCCAAAACTTCCTCAAGGTTTTGGCCCGCAGAGCCCGAACCGGCTGCTCGAGCGCTCTACACATACGTGGCCATGGCTGTACGTCATTGGAAATTAAACTGGGCTCTCTATAGTAGTATTCTTTGCGAATAAACACGAACTGACACACTATGTGCACTTCATGTGCACAGGCACTCATAAACTATTGAATACATAAATTCCTATAAAACTTAGTTGTATTGCCGAAAGATAAGGTCTCCCCACTTCTAGTTAAGACTGCCTCAATACATGCATTACCTCGTTTCGGTGTACTGCACGATAAGGCGTAAGAAAGTAGCCGTACCTTCATTGCGATAGCAATGATATGGACAATATCGGCTGGATATTGCCACCGGCGTCAGCGTCGACATCCCCGTCACTCAGGGTATGTGTACGTTACCTATGTATACGAAAATTGTATCTATGTAATTGTATCTATGTATATTGTAATTGTATCTATGTAATGAAAAAACCAAGAAAAGACTCCGGCACACGGATACGAACATTGGTCCTCTGAATCTTGAGTGCCAGGCATTAAACACTGAGCCACTCAGGAGCACTTCCTCCACTGTTCAGACGGCAAGCAATTTCTATTTACCAATTACCACTGCTGACAGGCATCTCAGGAAGAATAATTGCGATTTCAGCATTACTATCAAGATTGCGCAAAGAGCGCGCGTCGCCACATCACGCAGTGGCGCGCGATCTTTTCTCCCACGCGTCCTTTGCCCCGCTTAAAGATGGGGAGCGAGCCTCTCTCGCGATTCCTTATCTCGCAGTGCGGAGAAAGAGAAAACGATACGTCTAGCTGGCGTCGGGTTTCACCTGGAAGAATTCTGTTGTAGTTACCAGGCGCACAAAGGTCACTGCAATCATTGCAGACTCCGTTTGCGAAAAGCGCGCGCTTTCAATACACAGCGAAGTAACAACTGAAACGCTTATTGGCGTGCATCTGTACCTGTGAGTATACGTTTCGTGCGTAATTTGTGCGTGAGAAACGCAGGGCACATTTTGATCTGCTTTCCATCCTGCGCGCAATCTTCCAATTTGTTGCTATCACTTTTATTGCTTCCCCTCAGCAGCAAAGCTGTGACTTTTTTGTCATGTAGAGTTATTTTCCTGGGTAATTTGTTACGTTGCCGAGTTTCACCTTGAATTGCACGCCAACTCGCCTAGCTATCTACATTGCTGCTACACATTGACTGATGTCGCGGTAAAACACCATTGCTGTCAATATTTAGTTCACAATACTTTTCCCGGTTATCAATATTGCTGAACTTTATTAGACTTGCATCTCGAAGTACGATGGGTCATACGAGAGCAAGAAAGCCAGTGTGTCACTCTTCAAACTTCTCTTCGTTTCTTCCGAATAAATTTGCCATTGCTGCAGCCAATTCAGGAGTGATTTCTTCAGCATGGTAGGATCCAATGTTCAGCGCAACTGGAAAGTGATAAGTCAAAGAATTAGGCTCACCTCTCTTTGAAATATTTAGGAACATATTCCTAAATATACGATTTAGTACTGCTTAAATTGTGTAAATTGTGTATTTTTATGTTGTGCCACGGTTTTTTGTAATGTTTCAAGTGCATATCAGACACATCAATTTTAAAAGAAATGAAACTGATTGCCTGCCTGGATTGCTTTTTCATCACGAAAAAGTGGGTCTGCTTGAGACAAAAGCGTTTGCAGTCATAACGCTGTAGTCTTTATTAACGTAGGGTTCATATATTTATCTTTGTTCATTTTTTATTTCAAGATATTCCTAAAAGGTTTCAATCTAGAAAGCGTATAGCCAATGAGAGAATAATGCGGTAAAGAAGTTGCAGATTGGTAAACGTAATGGTATTTATACGAAACGAAGCCATTACCCAAGTGAACGTCCACAATAAAGTTATACTGGAGGTACCGAAAATAAATAGCAAAATAACAAGTAAAAATAATGTGGTCGCATATAAGGCTATCAAAATGTACCAGAATCGTTTTCACAAAGGTAAAGCAGGCACTTCATAGAGTGACCTAAACAAAGACCGTAACAGAATGGATACTGACGCGCGTATGTGCCAGTGGTGAGGACAACGAAGGAGCGCGAGTGTCTTTGGCCGAGGGTAAAAGACGAAGAAGTCGTTGCAGTCTGTTTCCTGCGATCGATAAATCGTATTTGTTTGAGGCGCTCTGTGTGCTCGTCAATCTCGCGTCGTCACACTGGTGGAAGTGCTGGGTACGTCTTCATGCTTGGCACCCCTTCGCGGACCCGACATTCAAGCCCGGAATCACTACCACCCGTCGACACACCAGTCCACCGTTCCAGCCGCCGTCTGCGAGGCTTAGCTCCCGAGCTCAATCCATTTCCAGAAACTGCCAGCAATCGCTTGCCTCCTTCAACCACCATGGCCACTGCAGCTACATCGCACATGACACTTCAGAATCCCATGATTCCTGACTGCTTTCATGGTGAGACCTATGAAGATGCACAAGACTGGCTGGACCAGTTCGAACGCTGCGCGAAGTACAACCAGTGGGCCACCCCAGAAGACAAGCTCGCGAATGTGTACTTCTACCTGAAAGACAACGCCCAGACGTGGTACATTAACAGGGAAAGAAGCATGGCTACGTGGGATGACTTCCGCAACCAGCTGATTGACACCTTCAGTAGTCTTGACAGAAAGGAGAATGCGCAACATCTCTTGGAAGCTCGAATTCAAAAACAAAACGAGAGCGTCGCTATGTTCGCCGAGGACATGACCCGTCTTTTCGGCAGGGCGGATCCCGAGATGCCGGAAGACAGGAAGCTCCGGTATCTAATGCGAGGCGTGAAGGAGCAACTGTTTGCTGGGCTTGTGAGAAATCCGCCAACAACAGTAGCTGAGTTCACGAAAGAAGCCACAGCTATTGAACAGGCCCTACAGCAACGGTACCGCCAGCAGAACCCGGTCAACGTTGGAGCGAGTAGCCCTGTTACGACTGCGGCGAGCCTCTGCGACAACGACAGGCCTCTGCGGGAAGTCATCCGGGAGATTTTGAGGGAGGAGCTTCGGCAGCTTGGTTTAATTCAAGCAACTGAACCGACGCCGGCTTTGTCTTTTGTCGCTGATGTTGTCCGGGACGAGGTCCGCCATGCTCTCTCTTCATCCGGCTATAATGGTGTGCGACGACATTTTACTTATGCTGATGCAGTCCGACGCCCCGTCGTCGCTCCTTCAGCACAGCAGACCCCAATGACTGGACCACCACGAACCCTGCAAACACAGCCACTGTCAGCACCGACCACTTTCGCAACCTCACCGATTCCCTCGACAAGACGAATGCCGTATAACCAACATGCCCCACAACGTCGCCCCACAACGTGGCCCAATAGTGAGTCTCCACTTACCTACCAGCGTCGGAAAACCGATTTGTGGCGTACCGCTGACCGTCGACCGGTATGCTTTCATTGCGGCGAAGCTGGGCACGTCTACAGAGTTTGCCGTTATCGCGACGCTCAGTACTCGAGATTTCCTCGCTACCCTGATTACGTTGCGTACGACGATCAACGCATTTACAACTACGCCCATGTGAACACACCGCCGCAGAATCCAGTAATGCCCAGATCACGTTCTCCATCTCCTGCGCGGCCCAGTTCACCAAATCGTCGCAGTTTTGCCGACGTCACCAGGGGCAGGTCCTCTAGCCCGCGACGGGGAAACTAGACGCAGCGACCTCGGGGGGTGGGGTTGCCAATATTCGAAATTCAAAACAGCCCCCATTGCAGACAAGTGACAGCTCGAAGCCATCGATACCGAAGAAGACGACAGCAACGACTAATTCGACGAATGAGACAACTGCCAACGTAACCGACGTTATCAGCGCTGACCTTGTCGTTCACATTGACGGCCACCAAGTGACGGCACTTGTGGACACTGGCTCCCACTTTTCTATAATAAGCCTACAGCTAGCCGAAAGACTCAGGAAGGTGAAAATGCCATGGCAGGGACCCAATATAAGAACTGCAGGAGGTCAGTTGATGACACCGGTTGGAAAGTGCACGGCCCGACTCGTCATTGCTGGTTCCACCTTTGTCGCCACCCTCGTCATTCTCCACGCGTGCTGTAAACAGCTCATATTGGGAATGTATTTCTTGCGCGAATACGGGGCTGTGATTGACATCCGTGACAGAAGCGTAACGTTCACTGTAAGCTCGGAGACTGCTACAAATGAGGAACACCAACCACCTCACTTCCGTATTGCCGATGACGACGTCATACTGCCGGCACGAAGTTGTTCTCTCGTATCCGTGCACTGTGACAAATTACGAAATGGTACTGGCGTCGCTTAACACATCAAGGAGCTCGCATTCACTAGCGGCATTTCTGTTGCCAGGGCTGTCATCACTGTTATTGAAGGATGCGCTGAACTGCTATTGACAAATTTCAGCAGAGAACGCCGACACATAGTCAAAGGCACGGCTATTGCCTATTTTGACGAACTCTCGCAAACAGAAGATTGTCATTTAGTGGAGGAAGCAGCAGCGTCTACTATCACTACACCGACACCTGTAGACGTTGGTCCAATGTTATCTCCCATTGAGCGAGACCGCCTTCTCACGCTCATCAACAAGTTCCACGGCTGCTTCTCATCCACATCAAGAGTTGGTCAAACGGCACTGACGAAACACCGCATCATCACGAATTCCGATGCCAGACCCATCCGGCAAAATCCTTATCGAGTCGCCCCAAAGGAGCGTGAAGTAATTCAAAAACAGGTGAAAACGATGCTAGAAGATGGTGTTATTCGGCCGTCCAACAGTCCTTGGGCATCACCTGTAGTACTCGTCAAAAAGAAGGATGGTAGCTTGCGTTTCTGCGTCGACTACCGTAAGCTTAATCAGATCACAAAGAAGGACGTCTACCCTCTGCCGCGTATTGATGATTCATTGGATAGACTACGAAACGCACGATACTTTTCGTCTATGGACTTAAAAAGCGGCTACTGGCAAATTGAAGTGGACGAGAGAGATTGTGAGAAGACCGCCTTTGTTACGCCCGACGGACTTTATGAATTTCAGGTTCTTCCTTTCGGTTTGTGTTCGGCGCCAGCAACATTCCAGCGTCTCATGGACACGGTTCTGTTGGGACTTAAGTGGCAAACCTGCTTGGTGTACCTCGATGACGTGATTGTCTTTTCGGTGACTTTCGAGGAACACTTACGAAGGCTCGAAGCAGTTTTTGAAGCAATACGCTTGGCCGGTCTTACTCTAAAACCAGAAAAATGCCACTTCGGCTTCCATGAACTTCGATTCCTCGGTCACGTCGTGAGCAGCCAAGGGATCCGACCCGACCCGGATAAAATTGCCGCCGTGGCAAATTCCCCGACACCATCAGACAAAAAATCAGTGCGACGTTTTTTAGGTCTCTGTGCCTACTACCGGCGGTTTATTGCTAATTTTTCGCGCATCGCATGGCCATTGACACAGCTTACTCGGGAAGATACCCCCTTCAGATGGGGCGAAGACCAACAGCAGGCATTTCACGAGCTTCGTCAGCGAATGCAAACACCCCCCGTGCTGGCCCACTTCGATGAAGACGCACCGACAATACTTCATACAGACGCTAGTAATGTGGGTCTTGGAGCAGTGCTCGTACAGTCGAAGGACAACAATGAAACCGTGATCGCCTATGCCAGCAGGACGCTGTCCCGAGCTGAAGCTAATTACACTACGACGGAAAAAGAATGTCTTGCAATGGTATGGGCAGTCCTGAAGTTTCGTCCTTATTTGTACGGCCGCCCATTCACCGTTATCAGCGATCACCACTCTCTCTGTTGGTTAGTGAACTTGAACGATCCGTCTGGCCGCCTTGCACGATGGAGTCTTCGGCTCCAAGAATTTGACTTCACTGTTGCCTACAAGTCGGGAAAACGACACACCGATGCCGACTATCTTTCTCGGTCTCCTGTCGAGACGGCATCCCCGGACAACGACGATGACGACACGGCCTTTCTCGGAATTGTGGACACTGCCACCTTTTCTCAACAGGAGCGTGGCGATGCTGAGCTGCTACCACTTATAGATTACCTAAAAGGGCGAGCGAATAGCGTTCCGAAGTTATTTGCGAGAGGGCTGCCGTCGTACTGCTTGCGAAATGACGTTCTTTATAAGAGGAACTTTTCACCCACCGGCAGCAGCTACTTGCTCGTCGTTCCTTCTTCGCTTCGCCGTGAGGTACTGCAAGCCTGTCACGACGAACCTACTGCTGGTAACTTGGGTTACGCAAGAACATTGGCGAGGATAAGGCAGAACTATTACTGGCCAAGACTTGCCGAAGTTGTCAAAACTTACGTGCAGGCATGTCTAGATTGCCAGCGCCGCAAGCCTCCATCCATCAAACCAGCTGGCCTGCTGCAGCCTGTTCGAGTGCCGGCGACACCGTTTGCACAAATTGGCATGGATTTTCTGGGCCCTTTCCCAAAGTCTGCCACTGGAAACAGGTGGATAATTGTCGCCACGGAATACCTGACCCGATACGCGGAGACAGGCGCTCTGCCACGGGCAACGGCATCTGAAGCGGCGCAATTTTTCATCGAAGCCATCGTCTTAAGACATGGTGCCCCTGCAATAGTAATCACCGACAGAGGTACTGCGTTCATGGCCGAGCTTTTGAACACCATTTTCCGACTAAGTGGTACAGCTCACAGGAAGACAACGGCGTATCGTCCCCAGACCAACGGGCTCACCGAGCGCCTCAACAAGACCCTGGCTGACATGATAAGCATGTACGTAGATGTAGAGCACAAGACCTGGGACATCATTTTGCCCTACGTCACGTTCGCCTACAACACAGCTAGTCAAGAGACCACTCGGAAGACACCCTTTAGTCTCCTCTACGGACGCTAGGTTACAACAACGTTAGACGCAATGCTCCCTCAAGAAAATGATGGCAATGAGACAGACGCCCAAGAGTTTACCCAGCTAGCAGAAGAAGCCAGACAACTTGCCAGGTTGCGAATCACCAAACAGCAAGACGACGATGCCAAGTATTACAACCTCCGGCATAGACCCGTCATATACAACGTGGACGACAAAGTATGGGTCTGGACACCTGTTCGTCAGCGTGGGCTTTCCGAAAAGCTGTTTCGAAGATACTTCGGACCCTACAAGGTTCTGCGACGCATTAGTGACGTCAACTACGAGGTTGTTCCGGACGGCGTGCAGTGTTCAAAGCGGCGCAGACATTCACCAGAAATTGTCCACGTGCTTCGGATGAAGCCTTACTTTCAGTGACTAACTGTGCAGTTTTGGTTTCGCCTTGGTTCTCAAACGTTTAACATCGAGACGATGTTTTCTTTAAAGGGGGAATAATGACGCGCGTATGTGCCAGTGGTGAGGACAACGAAGGAGCGCGAGTGTCTTTGGCTGAGGGTAAAAGACGAAGAAGTTGCAGTCTGTTTCCTGCGATCGATAAATCGTATTTGTTTGAGGCACTTTGTGTGCTCGTCAATCTCGCGTCGTCACAATACGCTTAATATTATAAGAAATTACACACATTGTGCCATGATATTTGGTGAATAGAATCGCTAAGAGGAAAAAAAACGCTACGGGGAAGAAATTGCGAGGCGAAAAGCAACAAGATTCCGTGCTAGCAAGTCCTTGACCTAACTGTTTACCACCTGCCGAAGATTTACGAGATCTGGCCAGCAGAAGTTCATTCGACTATGCTATTGTATGTTGTCTAGAAGATTATGACAGCCACATACTGAACCTTTCAGATTGAGCTGACAGTGACTGTGTGGAAAATTCCAGCACAAGACCAAAAAAAAAACTACTCGTGCTATTTGGATCAGCCTAACAATTATCTACCTACGGAACACGGGCAGTTTTGCTGTGAAGGCATCATCTTCTCCTGTGAGGTTGGCTTCTGGAATGATGCTAATAAAATAGAAGTGTAAATCTAAGGAAGCGTTTCTACTCTAACTCAATTGTACGATAAAGTAAATGGATGCAATTTGAAGAGTTTAAAGAAGTTCTGTCTCGATGAAAGAAGTGCGGTTGCCAATCACATCTACGACATGAGAACTGTGTTCAAATCATGCACTTGACAGTGCTTTCTTATGGCGGGGTTTCCGGCAGTTATGCTCAGGACGCGAATATGCAGTGCGGGATGATTTGTTTTTGAATATGTGATGTTTCTTCAAATATTAGCATCTGCTTTCAACGCAAAATCTAGTGCGCTAATTAAATTCCATGGTAATTACGTATAAGTTGTCTCAGTGTTGTGCATAGTGTGACTTCGAATGGCTTGCTTAATCTAGTATGTGACTTGAAACTAAAAGCGAACAGTTGTAAACCCGCGCCATTTGTACTAACAGGCGAACTTTTATTAATGAACACTTAGAAGCGGGTTGGCTTGTGGTGACTAAACTTTGCCTAAGCGTTATTTAAATACCTTTTGATGATACAATTTCAATTATGAAATGTCTTTCGGTTTTCATAAATTGAAAATAACATTTCTATCTAAGCAGCGCAACAAACAGAACCAACAAACACGCGAAAACGTGGGCGTCAATAATAATGATTTTTCAGCTGTGTTGCAATGCAATGCCTGTACGTCACAGCCTTGTTCCCACCAAGCTAATTCCTTTTTTTCCACTTATGTGTACGACCTATAAAACATTCGGAGGCGAACCGGCTGGGCTGCTCTAGTTGGTGGTACGCGCTCAGGTCACGACCACATTCAGTGGACTCCAGGTGTAGGGTCTGGTCACTCAACCATGCGCTAGTATAATTCTAATTTTGTTTTCGTTTCTATGTGTTTCGGTTTGTGCTCGCACTTATTTTTCGAAGAAGATTTGACATGTCGCTCATATCTTTGTACGTCTTCTGCTTCAACCCTGCAGTTCCCGTTACATAGACTCAATGAATGTCACTTTGTTCGCGGCAGCGAAAGTAATTGCTGCAGAAGTGATCTGACATGATTTCTTTGTATGACACAACTTTGTGTTGATAGGTGTCAATGCCTTATTTTCACGACGAAAATGACTTAACTCAAGCGTGCTTTATGTCTGGCTGCACCGCGGCTCCGCTGATTCATTTCCGTCATGAACATATATTATATAGATTTTGACGTTGCAAAACTAACAGATATGACGTTGTATGGATAATACATTGTAAAATTAAGAGATTGCGAAGAGGAAAAGAAAGCACAAGAAAATGCCTGACTGCCTGGTATTCAACCTTCGACTTTTCTGCTCACAGCTCTTACGTTGTATAGTTTATTAACGTCAAGCCATTTATATTCACGATATACCGTTGTTCATACTCTAAGCTAAGCAACTTCAGGGCGTTTTCGTCATCAATAGCGATATGTTCACCCGTGCACGTGCACTTCACTCGCGATTTAGGTGCTTCGTGCGTCTCGTGCTTCCACCAGAAGTTAGCTTTGAAGTTACAGTGGTTAAAGAGAGCACGAAGAAGACTTCTCTCGGTGCCATGGCCATGTTTACGAAAGAAGTACGCTGTTCACGCAAGAAGGGATAATTGGGACAGCTGTGGGACCTTCTTGTATGTATACCTGTGCGTCCTTGTCTTGCGTCCCTCTTTGTGCTTTAGCAACGCGCTTTCAGTGCCAAACGGTGAACGTTGTTAGTCCGCCTTAGTCTTGTGCACGCTAATTTTGTGCGTGCTTTCTTCAAGGTGTGCGCAGAAAGTTCGAGATGGTTGCCGCTCTTCACGTCACTTTACAAGCATTCATTTGTTTGCCTTTGTGAGAAAAAATACAAAATACACAATCAACTGCCTCTATGAAGACATACAGTTTTGTCACACCAATACCGATACTGAAGGATGAGCGACAATTTTTAATTATGTTTATACTTACAGATTACCATTGCGAGCCCCAAGTACTTGGCAAGGAAGGAGTTCATGTCTGCAAATGCAGAGATGCAGGTAAAAAACACTGATGTCTGAAGAGATGCACATTGGCTCCAGTACACGACTTCTAGGCAACTCCGCCGGCAGGTTAACTTCAGAGAAGTGACGAGGAGCTGTTGTCGCTATTGACTACGGCTGAAGGCGCAAACGTCGGCATCATCTTCATTGTATTTCACGTCTGCCTAACAAGCCTCATAGAAGAGATAAGTATTTAACACTTTCAAGCCTCGCTTTTTATAAAGCCTATTTGTTTTTGTTTACTCCTCCTAGTAGTGCCACCCATTGAAAATTTTCGAGACCCGTTTTTTGATAGAGAATGTTTGCTTCAAGTTACTCCATTGTAAGAACAAAGTATGCAATGACACTCTGAGATATTAAATTATCTTTAAGCTCATCATTGGAGGAGTTAGTGGGACGTACTAGAAACTAATAATACCCCAAACACAAATTACCAGCTGTGGAAGCTGGTTTTCCCCTGTCCTCATGCTGTTCAAATGCCTTTAAGTTGTTTTAAAATGAAACATTTCAAGAAGATTTTTACCGGTGAATGTGACGTCAGAAATTCAACCTCAACTAATGCGCAACGTTCAGGATCATCCTTTTTTTTCAGCCACACAGATGAAGCAAAATTAGTTTAGTGTAAACGCCCCAAAATAAAAAATAAAAATCACTAAACATACGGGATTTTTTAGCCAAAAATAACCAAATGAAAATTGTACGCCTCTACTTTCATTCAGATCACTGAAACCCTCTCTTGCCTATGTTATTAAACGTGGAAAAAGGAAACGATATGTGATAAGCTTTAATCACATAATGAAATATTTACAAAAATATGCTTGATCCATGCCCTGATTCTTTTTTGTCAACCTTAACACTCGGCAGACGGAAGCGGTCTTTTTTTTTAAAGAATAATGCTATTCTACGAGTTACACATACGCTGCGGCACGTTTTTGGCAGATCTTGTTGCAGAAGTGGTTGCTTGCAGAAGCTGGCTCAACCATCATTGGTCTATTTAGTTCTGGACAATGGCTAAAAAATGTTCGTTTAGGCTGCTCTTTGGTAACAGCGTTCTGAATAAATTTTTTGCGTGAATGAAGTGACTCTTACACATAAATATGAAATGATACTATTCAAAAGTTGCGGGCTTACCGTTGAATTATCTGATGAGCAAGCTTATGCGATCCAGAAGTATCGGTGCTTTCGCAGAAAATACGGATCCACAGTTCCTTTTTTATAACGCGCACAAACGATTTCGATAAACCAATATGTCGAGTTTTGATGAGAAACAGAGGACGCTGGAAATAAAATTATCCAAGTGGAAACTAATGATCGCACTTAAGCGATTGCCCCATATTATGATATATAAAAAAAGCTTATCACTTTTTTTTAAATATATGACGCCTATGAAATGCGTGGCAAGAAATGTCAAAACAGACGTTCCGAAAACAGCGTCCTCAATTTCGCCCACTTCAACATTCCATTGGCTGTGATGAATACTCTTTCGCAAAAGTAATTTTCACCATCCTACAGGTTTAATCACATCAACCGCACGTGGCAAAACAAACGGGGCAGGTCGAACAGTTGATTGAGCCAAAATGGCTGAAATATGTCTCGGCAACAAATTCCGAAAATTATCGTGAATGACATACTAATTCCTCGCACAGTACCAAGCAGTGGAATGAACATACGATAAATTAGACCAGCGAATCGACGGAAATTCTGCTGTCAAACATAAACTTGGCAGCGTAATTTGAAACGAAGATATGAAAGATTTTTCAGAGATGACTTTGATAGATTGTTCTCGGTTTTTTTCATTACTGGCATTGTTCTCCAGCATGAGGCATTATTCCATTACAATGAAAACAGTGTAATCAAAAGCTTAGTTTTTGCTGTACAAGCCTCTGTTAACAACACTGAGAGTAAAGTAAAAATTTTCAACATGAAACGCCATTATTGAATGTGTTGTATGGTTTTTATGAAGACACACTGTGCTTAAAGCTATGAGAACTTGGTGCTGGCTCCAATGAATAGACGAAAATCTGAATCTGAGTAATAATAGTAATATTATTATGAGAATATTGCGAGAATATACAAATACAATGAACATAATTCAATTCAAAATAGTATTAGATGGGTTTCGAGTATGCAATGTACTTGATGTCTACCAATTGTTGCGTTGGATTCTGATGAGTCGTTCCTGAGCTGTAAATGAAAAGTTGAATTCCGCAAGTTATGTGCCTACTATCTCACGTAACGCCGTCGACGGGAAAAAATACCAGTTAATACTCGGTAGTTCGACAGCACACATTTCTCTCGTTTGGTTGGCGTACGAAGGGCGAGAAAGATAATACAGAAAGTTGTGACGTGCACAGAACATAAGCTGCAGTTGGCCACGTTAAGCTAGCCAGCTAAACGTTACGCGAAGGTGGCTAAATCAGTTCTCACATATTTCTTGTGTCTCTGCGATGTGATATCCCTGCGATCAAAGTAGTTCCTATTGGAAACAGGTCTGTGCAAGTATTTGGGCGCATTATTTCAGCCTTTCATACTTTGGCATAATCACATGACTATAGTGAGCCTAGTTCTTTGCAAGCCTGACTACACTGACGAAATCACAGTGCCATTACAATATTAGACCAAAACTACAGCCTCTCATTGGTCAGCAAAATACGTTTAATGAAAAGCTTGACTGTGTAATCCGTGAGTTGCACTGTTTTATCGTGTTATATTTTTAGAGCATAGTTCAAATGACGTGAAGCCATTAGAGGCTTCTTCCTGTTTTTGGGAATGTATGTGACTAGTAAGACACTTTGTAGGCACTTGCTTCTTATACTGTCCCTGAAATTAATGTATTGAACTCAGTGCTCTGAGTGGTAGTTTAATAAGGACTGTCGCTAGAGCAAACGCTTTGACAAGCGGACTATTCTTCGTGAAGGCAACGCTGCTGCTCTGACAAAGACAAGTCACCTTGCTGAAACATTGTTTCCAGTAATGTTCTCTGATAACGTCTCGTCGGTTCAAGCCTCTACATTCCTCTAAGCTACTGTCTTCTTTGGCACGGAATTGTAGTAAGAAAACTGTGCCCGCTGTCATAACAAGCGTTAATAGGTCGAATACGACGTGTCCTGCTTGTGACTTTTGACAATTTTTGCATGCGTTTAGGTATTCCGAGTTCCATGTTGGTCATTGTGCCCATATTTCAGTGGGAGATTAAATCTGCTTTCAAAGATTGAGCCCTTCATACTACGTGTATGTGTGTGCTTTTATAACACAAAATGTGCAATAAACAGACTGTTCTTGTAAATTTAATTTTGTCATACAGAAGAATTGGGGAGCTAAGTTGTCCCGCTCCAGAACACGCGAAAAAAATTTAATAACAAATGGTTGACGAACTTTCGCGAGTGGCAGCACCGCCCAAGTGGCCTATGGATCCGAAACAAAGTACGAGTGCATTCCGCTTTTAAGTGAAGTGGCAAGAAGTAATGGCAGACTGGGGTTGTTGATTTGACATATTAGAAGTTCAAGGTACGAATACGACACAGACGAAGAAAGACAACACACATACACACACACACACACACACACACACACACACGCACGCACACACACACACACACACACACACGGAGTGCCACTTCAAACGAACATTTATTTAGAAAGAGCACCGAACATATACCGACATCACGCGCGCCAACACCATGCCTCAATGCGCAGTCGCAATCAAGTAGCGTAACCCTTTTTGCGATAATGACAGGGTGCATATGGTTGTGGTGAGGTAGCGTAACTTTTTGTTGATACTGATGAGGAGCGTATGCACCCCAGAGGAGGCTCATGTGGTTGTCAGTTGAGTGAGGAGTGAGAAAGTCGCAAAGAAGGGCCAGGCAGGGTGCCAATATTTCGGGAATCTATGTTAGCGTCTGCAAGGTTGTACCTGGCCGTAATCTGACATGCCATGACGATTACATTATATATATATATATATATATATATATATATATATATATATATATATATATATATATATATATGTATGTGTGTGTGTGGGGGGGGGGGTGCATCATGGCATTTCAGATATGTTTTCTGCATCACCACAGTCCCGTGTCTTGATTGTCTTCACTACAATAAAGACTTTGCATAGCTGAAGTGGTCCTCAACTATTTTTAGTATTCTTGTTGCTCGATGCTCTTTCTGTCTTCTTTTCCCTGTACTATGTCTATTAGTCAACGCAACTTGCTCTAAATATTGTAAACTGAAATATATATAGCTTGTTTTTCCATAAATACTTGATAGTGCTTAGGGTATTATCTGAAAATAACAATACACCTGGCTGGGTGTCTATGCACTATTTCAAGCATTTTGTGATGGCGTGGCGGCAGAGAAAATTGCTAAGAAACGGCCTTGTCAGAAGACTGAAGTTAGACTGATGATGTTAAGTGGTAAGTGACAGCTGTGGTGCAAGTCGCACCTGCGAAAAAATTGTTTTCCATTCGATGCGACGCCAATGTTTTGCGGTAATGGAAGCGCGGTTCTTCATTGACATAGTTCCGGCTTCGAAGCACTCAATGACGAGTTGGTTCAAGGGTGCCGGCTCTAGTCACACAGGTCTCTTGGGAAATCTCGCCAAGCACTGAGTTATAGCGGCATCTCGAGTGGCTCTGGAAGGAAAGCTCCCGAGGAAAGGAAACAATGTTCCTCCGAAGTCGATGAACCGCAGCGGCAGGAGGGACAATAATAAAACATGACGTCTCCATCTGCAGAAGTCATCATCTCGGAAAAATGGCAAATGGCAAAACTGCCATAAGACGACAAGAAAACAAACAAGAGATAGGAAGCAACATTTCTGAGAGATAATCAATTATGGCCGAGCTTCTACCACTGAAAATGTTTTGTACTTGTGTGTGCATTCTCGCTTCTTTAGCGTTTTCTTGCGCTCAAGCTACAGTAAAGCACGCTTAAGCGACTGAGAAAGGAGATCTATTATGTGACTGAAATGAAGTGGCAAGAAATAACTCCGTGCAATTCGCCCTAACGCGCTTGATTGTTACCTAATGCGGCTGGCTAGAGAAAATCTTTTTTAGTTGTTCTAAATTTTCAATGTTTAAGCGATGTTGCACTTAACTGTAACTATTGTAGGTGACCGTAGATTACCGAGTTGTTTTGCGCGACCCAAGTCGTTTAAAAGATTGCAATGTTTTGCCGCCTTCACACACTTTAGGCTGACACTATGGTTCTGCTTTGGAACAAGACGTTACCATATTTTGTCATTTCAACCAAAAGGCTCTCTACTCAGATAACAATAGTAATGTGTATTCTGTAGACACAAGTATAGCGAGATACATGGCGCATTCTTTTTATGATCATGGCAATACAAAGTTTGTATGACATAGGCGAACACACAAGTGACGCGTGTTCACACAGTACAACGTTTTTGCCTTTAGTTAGTGGTGCAGCGGGGCCCCTTCTGTAGTCTTCTTGCTCAATGCATTGATCAGGCTTGCTTTGTATCTGTAATTGACTGGCCAATAAAAAATATACTGGTCTAGGACTATGTATATATTTATAGGTATAGATATTTGAGGTACCAGTGTACTTCATTAAAAAAAGGAAAAGCACGGGCTTTTTCGGTTAAATCCAACAGGCGCGATTGTAGCACGTCGTGGCAAACATATATTGAGAAACTGGGATAGTGCTGAAAATCTGTCGAAAGTTTTTGCCTCTGGGTTTGAGTCTCAGATCCGAAGAAAAGCCGAGAATACGAATGCAGCTGCGCCCATCACTTATCACTACACCTCGTGCGCCATGCCCGTGGCTTTTACGTCATATACGTAGCTTGGAGAAAAGAGAGAGCAAAAATCTAATAAACAACGTTAACTATGCGGAGCGTTTTAAGGACCACAGAACGCTTTAACCTTGATGTTATCGTGTCATAACTTCCGTTGGCGTCATGAATATCCCACGTTTGGTGCGAATAGGCTCACAGACTGCAGGTTTCGGAACGCCACCGTATACTTACCCGTAAATGACTGCATTGCGAAAGGGCTAGTTTGTCTGTCCGAGCCAGTGCAGCGACAGCCAAACAAGACCGTTTGGTTTTCAACACACGCCTAGAGATAGAGAAGTGGAGGAGAAACCTCAGCGCCGGGAGTTACTCGCGTTGCGTTTGGAACAGGAAACAGTGCAAGAACTGTATAAGAAAAAACCTCTGAACAAAA